TTTAATGATGTCATCATCACGGGCGCCCTTCAATTGACTAATAATCTCGACGACTTTAGAACTTGATCTCTAGCCCTAGACGCAAAACGGGCAATAACAACAACAATATCATTATCATCATCGGCGTCGCGATGCTATTATCAACGAATGCAATCGAGAAGACAAAGTGGGGGAAAAATAAAAGCAAAAGGTTGAACCGTTACACCAGCAATAAAAAAAAAACAACAATAACAACCGTAACAACAACACCTACAGTAAACTGGAGCAAAAAGAGCGATATTTTCGAGAGAATGCCAAAAAAAAGCCAGAGAGACAACAAAAACAAAGCCGACAAGTGCGAACAGCACAATTGCGAAAGCAACAACAACAACAACAGAGAAGCAACAACCACTATGCACACGTGGGGGTCTGACGTTTGGCCAGAGCAACAGAGTGAGAGAGCAGTATCCAAAGAGAGCAACAATATATGCGGGGGCGTCGCAGCCGCAGTCGACGTAGCAACGTCTGCCGACTCTTGACTTGACACTCTTCTCCCCAAAAGAGAGCCTTGCCCACTCTCACTCAGGAAACGAAAAACGTGACAGAGTCGTGTTGTGGTTCTCTACTCGCAGACATTTAATGCCCTGTAATAAGGTTGCGCCTTGAGCATGGTTGGAAAAATTTATTAAATTAAATTATATACATTACTTATAAGTGATTATGTAAAACAAATTGTTTTATTTCGGTGGAAGTATTAAATAATAAAACAATTTTTTTTTTCAAACCTCCAGACACAGGGTACCTTAAGCTTCTATCAGAAAACTACCAAACACCTCTTGTTCTTTCCGGTGTTCCGTACCTTGGTGTTCGTGCGAGCATAACAAAAACACGCACTCACACCGGCGCAGAGCATATCATGTCAAAAAGCTTAGCGCGTATTATAACCTCTATTTTCGTTTTGGTTTCCTCTGTTCACCTCTTTTTCCATTTTCTCGCTTCTAATTGTTTGCTAATGTGGCGGCTTTTATTTAATTTTATTAAAAAAAAAAATCTCCCCTAGGAGATAAGGTAGAAAACTGGAAAAAGCAAGGCGCCTTTATTTATTATTTGTTGTTGTTGCATTAGCAGCTGACTGGCGGAGCTTGCGCGTGTGTGCGTGTAAGGGCGAGAGAGATAGCCAAAGAGAGAGGGAAGCAAAAAGCGTGCAAGCCGCAAGTCTAGACATACACACACACCAACACAGTCGTACACAGCTGCTAATTTAATTAAAAATATAAAATGAGAATAATTTGAATTTTTCCCCTATTTGTCGCATCCTTTTTGGATTTAGTTTTTTACTTAAATTTGGCGAAAATTGCACGCGACATTGGCAATGTTGGCAGAGCTCAGTGAGTGTGTGTGTCTGCAGTGTGTGAGAGGCACACATATACAAGCAGCTGAAAAGCACACATACACACACGGCAACAGCGACAAAGACGGTGTACAGTCCACTTGTTAAATCAATAAAAATAAAAAGAAATCAAGCAAAAACGGCAGCCACAATTTTTGGGAAAATCACTTGGTTTCCCTTTTAGTTCAAGTCAATTCACACTTGGCGCGCTTAATTGAGAACACCATAACACCAAGCACAACCTTCAGCGAATGTCAAGGACCTTTGGCACATGTGTTTTCCAAAAAATGTTTTCAAAACTTTCCACTTGTATTCACTTGTAACACTTGTTGATGATTTTTTTTGCTTTAGTTTTTGCGTGATTTTCCACACTACTTACCAGGTCTCCAAATTGCTAAACTTCTTGGTCACCACCTTGCCGAGATCGATCCCCAGGCGATCGACAATCCGCTGGGCGAGATCCGGATGCGAGGTGCCCGAAAACACTTTGATGTTCGGCATTCTGGAGTGGATTAAATTTAGACAACCAGCCTGTTTCTCCAAATTGTCTCGGATCAAACTTCTAGCGCGTATCGGATTAGCAGAGCGAACTGGCATCACACAATCTACGAGTAGAAGTTTTTATTATAAACTTTTTTTGCGCAAAACGCGGCAGCGACGTCGCCGCCTTATCGGTGTGATGGGCGCCGGAGAGAGAGAGCGCATTTGTATGGGCCGCAGCTCTCTTACAGCTCTTTTGCGGGCTCTTTTTTACGTTTGAGATTCATTCATAGCGACGCTTGCGTCGGCAGCGCGAAAGCTTCGAACTGGCTTGGCATGTGTGAGTGGGTCCCTTTCTGCGCTCTCTCTTTCCACCCCATGACCATGTGATTTTCGGCGTCATCTCGCTCTCTTCTATTCTCTATGGAACTGGAAAAGCTATCGATGTCGATTGTTGTTTTGAATCGGTTCGATAGGCATCAAACATCATGTTTCTATGTATTTTTCAAATTTTTAAAACTTACTGAGAAGTGAAACAGTACACTAGTCAAAATTAAATTTTCAATATTTTTTAAGTAAACAAAATTACGTTTTGAGTATTGAATAAAGCAGTATGAAATGGTCAATCAAATAAATAAGATTAAAGTTGATTAAATTTAAGTATTCATTTTGGAAAATAAAGTAAAAGTATTGTAGTTTCTTTAAGCGTAAGCCTAGAGGATCAGAACTATGAAAAGTATTTTAAAAACATTTCAAAATGTGTCGGAAAGTATGCTTTAAAATATTACACAATATACATTAAGTAATTTCAAAGGTTATTGGGATTTATGTCACCTTGTTATTTATCATACAAATAGGGTAAAATACTGGGGCTTGCGGTGATAATTTCTAACTAATATTAGTTAAAAATAGTAATTTATCTGATGTTGCTACTTTTCAGCATAAAAAATATACTGGCATGCCAACAGGCGCGCGCTAAAAGAAAGCTTTATTCCGCTTGACAAACAGCTGTTCCTACAAATTTCCCAAGATGACCATGAAAACATACACACACATGACAAACTCAAAAAAGGAAATAAAAAGGGTTTCAAGGACACAAGTACGCACCATTCTGCTCGGAATTTTCGGAGCATTTCTTATCGGGCATTATTTAAAAAATATGAAGTCCCGATATCGTTTCTTTTTAGCGACTTAAAAAGCAGCGCTCGAGCAACACACTTCCTCACAGCTGTTTTGTCTGACTTTGGACTAAAAAAGTGCACTGTTTTTAGCAACAATTTTAGCTGATTAGCGGATTTAGCAGAGCGCCGCATCTGGCGAAATTGAGCGAGCGAATGGAACTGAGCGCCGTACAACATGGCGTATGCGTCCATCACACATACGCACTGTAGCCACACATACTGGCACTGTCTCGGGAGAAAAGAGAGAGAGAGCGAGCAGGATGATGCGCAGTTTGGCTGCCAAGGAAAAGCTTTCGGGATGCCACAGCAACAGTGCCTTCTCTTTCGCTCTCAATCAGCTGTTGTTTGCAATGCGAGTGTACGTGTACCGATAATATGCATTCGTCATTTGCGATTTTAATTTTTCTTTTTTTGAAAATCCGATAAATACAACACAAAGGAAAATTTCATAAAAAATTAAATGCACAAAAAAGAGTATAATATATTCAAGAATTTTTTTTTTTGTTTCGTCCGTAATGTAAACATTTGTATCTTATGCTCTCATTATTATTCACGGCAATAATTTCGAAATTTTAAATTCAAATAATATATATTTTATTTTATTACTAGGTTTTTTTCCGCTGTGTAGCTCGGTTTTCGTAGTATTTTTCATTTCATTTTATAATGTCAAGATCGATAGTGTTAATTCTTTCGGTGTATAAGTGCCTTTTGATGACTTTTTATTTTAACGTTTGAATTTAATTGTTGCCCTGTAGTGTATAAAAATAGACCTATTAGCGTTGATCTTTAAAAATAATTTCTTTTTCAAAATGCGTAGAAAGAACTGTACTTTTGCTCGAACGGGGGCTCGTCTTGTGTTTACTTGCCGGCATTGCCTTGTTTTTGTTTTGTACTTGTACAACTGTACCTTGGGATGCTGGACGGGGGCAAAAACACAAAACAAAAAGCCAACGCAGCAAAACACCGGAGAAATGGCAAAGCACTGCGATTTGTTAAATTGTTTTTCTAGTCTAAATATAAATGAACTAAAGCTAAATGCTGACGTGCTCTTCTCCGCGTTTTATCCCTAAAACTGACGCAAATGGCGTTGCATATAACAATAATGGGAGCGTGGCATGGAGAGACGGAAGAGGGGGAGCGACGCGGAAACCACGTGCCGCATTCGAACGAGGCAAAAACAAAGCCACTCACACATACACACACTCCTACTTACTTAAAACATGTGCAGTAGAACTGTGTCGCAATTTTAGTAAATGTTTAACAACTAAAGAAAGTACTTTGAACACGTTTTTTGATTAAAACCGTGACGGTTGTACTTCTATGCAGCCGCTATTCCGAAAATGCAAAAGTTGAATGAATCAGCCCGTTCGTGAAGTTGTGAAGTAAGCTTGGGAAAGAGAGCGATCAGAGCGAAATAAGAGCGTATGAGAAGCGAGAGAGCATTTTGTTGTTTGTATTGGTGACTCGTGCTGGGGCGAAAGAGAGCCGTATAAGGGAAACACAAACACGTGTGCGCAATAAACCTCTTATTTTCTTAAGCGTTCTACTCCAATTTTAGCTTCGACTGTTTCTTGGGTTTACTTTTCGTTATCTGAAAATTGTTGTTGTTCCACACGCTTTTGCAGACACGTTTTTTTTTTTTCGTTTGCCGAGCGCCATTTGTGCGAAACGTGAATTTGGACACTAAAAGAGAATGGGCTTAATGCAAGGAGATCATAAGGACCTGGAGATACCCTGTAATTTATGTTTCGGATTTAATTTTTAATTAATTATTATTTCGTTATATTAAATACGAAATTTGTATTATTATTAATTGTTATTTTAAAACTTGTTTTTATTTTTTTAAATATTGAATAATAAATTGAAACAAAAGAAATAACGATATGTCTGCAAGTTACACCCCCATATACCCTACAAACCGTCATTGCCCATTATAAACATGAGATCGCAAATGCCGCATAATTAATGGTTTTCTATTATTTGTCGGCCTGCTGTTGCTAAGAGAGGCCTACAAACACGCCTTAGAAGAAATAAACTTCTTGTTTTTTTTTTCTGTTTTGGATTACGAAACAAGTTTTGAATTTCCGACCGCAGACAAGGTAGGTGAGCGCGTAATAGAACCATATTACTGAGGTCAAAATAACTTGGATTTGGTGTTCAAGATCAGAGACGCAGTGGAAAATAACCTTATCTTTGCACCAATGAAAAGCTGCGGCTGACATAGCGATGGTATTATGGGTTCCATTGATCTCATTTTAAAACAACTTCGAACAGAAATGAATGATTCGACTAGGTTTTTAGGGCATCAAGATCTACAGCATCATTATTATTCTATTTATACGAATTTTTAAGTTCTTAGAGGGAGTTTTAAAACTTATTTGAATAATATTTTTATTCATTTTGTTGTATTATCCCAGTAAGTATCAATATAACTGTCTTTCTTATATGATAATAATTGGGCTTACATGTAAAACATTATTGTTACAGGCATCTCTTAATTATACCCTTAAAAAATTAGAAATTGACAACTGTATAAACAATTTTAATTAATAATCATCATCAGATCGAAATGCGACTATGAATCCCGCCGACTCTGTGGCAGGGAAGATCCCGTTGGGTTTTCTCCTTGTTCCTCCGAAGGAAACTGGAGCTGGACAATCCCCTCAAGTGGTTGAGGTACCAATGCCACAACCATTCCTTAGATATGGCCCCGTACCGCCGCAGATACCGATCATTACCCAACCCGGAATGGGTTCCGGGGCCTCGATGGGCGGAATCGAGGGAGACTGGAAGAGCATACCTACCGGAATACCGAACTGTCCGCGGGGATTGGAGTACCTAACGGCCGTCGACCAGCTGCTGGTGAAGCAGAAAGTCGAGTTGATAGAAGCCTTCACCGGACTGGAGGGCAACAACAGATACTCCGTGAAGAATGCACTCGGCCAGAAAGTGTTTCTCGCGGTGGAAAACACCAGCTGCTGCACCCGCAACTGTTGCGGATCCGATCGACCCTTCAGCATGAAAGTCTACGAGGCCCATAGCAAGGAAGAGGTGCTCCAATTGCGAAGACCCACAGCCTGCTCCTGCTGCCTCTGCTGTTGCTGCCTGGACAGGATCGAGATCTCTGATCCACAGGGCAATGTGATTGGCAGCATTAAGGAGGAGTGCACAATATGTAAGCCATCGTTCCGCATCCTCGACCAAAACGGAGACCTTGTTCTGCGTATCGAAGGACCCTTCTGGACTTGCTCAGTTTGCGGAAATATCGAGTTTCAAGTAAATATTTATAACTTACATTTATTTTATTAATATTAAATTATTTATTTTGCCAGGTTGTGTCTCTAAATGGCGAAAATATTGGAAAAATCAGCAAGCAGTGGTCGGGATTGGCGCGTGAAGTCTATACGAAAGCGGATAATTTTGGGATCAGTTTTCCCCTGGACTTGGATGTGCGCCTTAAGGCGATTTTACTAGGCGCCACATTTCTCATTGATTTCATGTTTTATGAAAATTCAACAGACGGTTGGCTATCCTGTGCCCAATGCTGTCTTAGAAGTCTATGTAAATGCGTTTGCGACGCCATTTAATAGTCAATGCAGGGATATTCATAGTTAGTATAGTATTTTTGTGTGATGTTTTTCTATTTAGAGACTGAACTGAAGTTAGAAACTCCTAAGGCTGTATTTTGAATGTTTTTTGTGAATGAAACGCGATTACGGATGCATTCCGTTTCATGTAAATGTAAGTTTTTATTGTATTCTTGTTAATGGATTTAATTGTTGAATAAATTGTAAACCAAATAAGAAATCCAAGATAATTATGTTTACAAGTGAAAATTAAATAAAACGTTCCTTTAAATATGGGTTGAGTCTGAGATAAAGTTGTCGGTCATCAAAAGGGCCGAAGCTTGCGATATCGATAGAAAAGAGAAGTTTTTGTTTCCAGAGATCAGCTGATTTTCTGTTTTCATTTTTTTTACGTCACAGTAAGAATAAATCTTTATGTGGTCGCAAAACTGTTACTCTCCAAAGTTTATGGAACTAAAAAAAAAAAATGTAAGCTACAACGATTCTTTAAAAATCAAATCGATAATCGACCCAACCGATAGTATTTATGTTGTAATCGATTTTGTCGCAGCTCTAGCAAGCAAATAAAAAATAAACCTAGAAATATTGAAGCGCTTCGCTTTTGTATTTATTTTGTGTTGTGATCGAGTTCGTTGATTCGATCCGAAAGCCCCCAACCGATCGCCAGCGGAGGACTCGACCTTGGAGGCCAATAGCCCGGCGTAGTTTACGCAACGCGAACCACACAAAATTCGCGATATTGCACACCACAACAACAACAATAGCGCACGGGGCAACAACAAAAACACTGGCGGTGAAGTGAAGAGAGAGGAGAACTAAGAACAGAAGTGGGAGAAGCCAGAACCGAGAACGGCGGAGAGAGAAAGGAGAACGGCAGAGAATAGAAGGAGACACATAAACGCGAAAAGACCAACAGAATCATCATGGCGAATATGGCAGTGTCGCGAATCAAGCGGGAGTTCAAGGAGGTGATGCGCAGCGAGGAGGTGAGTGCTTGGAGGACACCGTACCAGCCCGGATCCCCCTTCCCAGACTTACCCGCATCGCAAACATCGCCAGCAGCTGCCTTCTCGGGGTCCACGGACTTTGCATCCATTTTTGGCGCGCTTCTCGAGCCGTGCTTTTGTCGTGTGAAGAGGGGGCAAGGCTGGGAACTATCTAACTTGTATGTTCAACTGTGTTTAATTATTTCCTCGTTTTCCCCCATTGACAGATCGTCCAGTGTTCCATCAAAATCGAACTGGTCAATGACAGTTGGACGGAGCTACGCGGCGAGATTGCCGGTCCGCCGGACACACCCTACGAGGGCGGCAAGTTTATCTTAGAGATCAAAGTGCCCGAGACATATCCCTTCAATCCGCCAAAGGTGAGTCGTTACTTATTAAATCTTGCCCGGGATTAGGTCTTCGCTGTCTTAATCATTAAATTAGTGAGGTTTTTAACTATAAAGTTGTTTACTTGTGATTTAAAATCATTAAACAAAACGTCCAACAGCATGCTACAAAATCTTTAAACCCACGGGAGACAGCATTGCATACTTTTGGAAACAATTCCTAAATTGCTTTTAAGTTGTAACAGTTCAAAACATCCTTTATTCTTTATACACATAATAACTAAAATTATTTAAATTAACAGGTCCGCTTCATAACACGCATTTGGCATCCGAATATTTCATCGGTTACGGGCGCCATTTGCCTAGACATTCTCAAGGATAATTGGGCCGCAGCGATGACACTGCGCACGGTGCTATTGTCCCTGCAGGCACTATTGGCTGCCGCCGAGCCAGACGATCCGCAGGATGCCGTGGTGGCGTATCAGTTCAAGGACAAGTATGATCTTTTCCTTTTGACCGCCAAGCATTGGACGAACGCCTATGCCGGCGGTCCGCACACCTTTCCCGATTGTGATTCAAAGATTCAACGCCTCAAGGACATGGGCATCGATGAGCACGATGCGCGCGCTGTTCTTTCGAAGGAAAACTGGAATCTGGAGAAGGCAACAGAGTGCCTATTCAGTTAGCTTGCTTGCTCCCGGCCTCACTTAGCACCAGTACCATCATCAACACCAGTAACTTCAACGACGACAACCCTTCAGATTGGCAAACCACACTAAATTCTAGTACATCCGGCGGCAGGTGGCAGCGGTAGCGGTGGCGGTGGCAGTGGCGACGGCGTCAGTTACAGCAACAAGCAATCACTACAATCAGCAGCAGCAGCTAAATCTCTGTCATTTAAATTTTTGCTAAATGCCTAACACGCGGTAGTCTAAGACTAAGGCTAAGTCCCCTCCATAAGAGCAGAACCCCTCTCTACGTAGCGAACACAAAATCATAATTGTAAATTGTTGTTTTGGTTTACGGAATTGCATTTGGCCCTTGTAATTTCCATATTTCAAGTTTCTGTTCCTTATTTTATTATTTTGTATTTTTTTTTCATTAACCGCACATTGCCAGAGGTTGAGCCTAAGGCAAACGCGCCTCTACGTCAAACATGCGCCATGCAATTGGGCCCAGGGTTCCGTTTCAGTCGCATTTACTTGCAACAAAACTGCTCCATCATTTTAAACGATGGTACATTTAATATTCTCTACAAAATCTTTATTTATGCCACAAAACAAAAATTATTAAGCAAACAAATTAATTGTGAAAATGTGTGAAGTGTCTAACAAACAAATTGAAGTCTTTGTAAATTGCGTTAAGTTAATAAATAAATAAATAAACAAATATAAAGAAAAGCTATTTACATTTATTTGCGGATCATTATGGATTTCTATCTAAACAAAACTTGAAATTTTTAAAAATATTTTTACTTATGTACATTTAAGAAAAAAAAACTGAATAGGTTTACAGAAATTTATTAAAAAAAAATATAGCTCTCATTATTATATCGAAAATATCGACCGGTTTTGTTTGATATATCGGAAAATATCGATAATGATCTAGAAAAGGGAACCAAAAAATAAAATTTCATTATTTTTAAGACGATAATATATTTATTATTTAATATTTTGCTACTCTTTTTATTTGGAATACAATTGAAATATTTTTGCTAGACGTTTTGTATATTTCATGTTATTTTGATTTGCGCTAAAAATTCGACTAAATATTTGGTCTACATGAATTTCTACTTGTGCTTCTGCTTGGACATGACCGAAACGGTAGATCCACCTGCTGTGATGGCCGCCGATCCCAGACAGGTGTTGCTGCCTTGGGGCATGGAGCCCATGCCGGCAGAGGCACTGCTTCCGCCGATGTTGTGATGGCTATTGTGACGCTGCTTAAGCATCTCCTTCCACTCGGACTCGAGGCGCACATAGACGCCGCCCAGTGGCTGGGCATTCTGTACCAAACACTGATCCGTTCCGGTCTTTTTGGTCACATAGCTGGCCACCTGTTTCATGATCTTCTCCTCGAAGTCGCGCTGATGATCCTGATTGCTGCGGGCCGAGAGCTCACCGGACCAAAAGCGACCCGATACATCGGTGGGACTAGGATAAGGCAAGAGCGTAGGACATAGAAGGAATAGTCTTTGATTTTCAGAACTCACCGCTTGCGTGACTTCTTGCCACGCGTCTTTCGTGGCGGCGGAGCACGATGCTCCGACTCGCAGCCATCGCTGCTGGAGCTATAATCCTCATCGTCATCGCGTACATTGCGCATTCGTGGGCGCTGGCATCGTGCATCCTCCTCGCTGGTGGACGTCGTCTCAGAGTCTGTGCTGGTGTCCATTTGATAGCGCGATCCCCTCATACGACGGCTCACCCGGTGGTTGGTCACTTCGAAGCAGAGTTTAGAACCTAAGCTTGCATATTTGGACTTACACTTACCTCTTTTAAGGACACTATCCATGCAGAGCTGCGGTAGGAGGCCCTGACGGCACCTCTGGGGCGTCAGAGAGATGCCCTGCCAGCTGGGACTGATTTCGCCGGCAGCTGCCAGCTCCTGGATCCTTAGAGGCGGCAGCTCACACAGTGCATAGTTCTCGCCCACCAACTGGGCAATGGCCAAAATGGCGCGCTCACGATCGGTCTCCACAAGGACACTGTGCTCCCGGAACTGGCAGCCCTTGAAATTCAAAGAGAGAAGCTTTTGTGACCCAAAACAAATGTATAAAAACCCGATTTAATACAAACATTTGGTCCCGGCAGCGTTTCATAGCGAAAGGCCTGCTGGCCGCAGCAGGAGAAGCGTCCAGCTGGCCCGGCGGCGCCAACGGGTCCCAAGAAATTCGGCGACTCCGGGTGATAACGGCACCAGTGCATCTGATACACCGGGAAGTGGGCCTCGCAAGTGCAGCAGTAGAGATAATGGCAGTGGCCCCAGAGCTTCCAGTACACCTTCCGCCACGACTTGAGCTCCTTGAAGAGCTGCACAATGTAGGCATTGAGATCCCAGTTGGTGTCGCGCACATGGTAACTCATCAGCTGGCCCCAACGGTTTAGCCGAATGTTGCTGGGCACACAGCTCACATAGGACTTCATGGTGTTGGTCACACAGTTGAAGCATCGCGAGCATCGGAACAAACCAGACATGCTATAGAAATGCCCACGCAGTGCCTCCGGATCCGGTTCGCAGAGCGATTGTATTAGCTTTGTCCACAGGCGCGGTGTCACCCGCTCCTTTTTGTCCCTTACCATCTCCAGTTCTAGATTGGTGAACATGGCCGCCAGCCGGGTGACCAGAGCATCGTTCAAGCACGATAAATTCGTCGAGGTGCGCACCACTTCGCTGAGATGGGCATGACAGAAGGCCAGACACTCGAGCAACAACGGTTCCATCTGAAGGAAACTGGCCGATACCAAAATGGGGACCACATTATTGCCATCCAACTGGGGACCGTTGCTCTGGCCGGATACAGGCAGATCTTGGCTCTGGGCACTGTGCTTGATCCACTTCATTAGCCAGTCGAAGATGAGAATGTCACAGTGCACGGATATGTCCATCTCTTCCAGCCTCTGGCCAGCTGTCACGTCCGCAAAGTAACCCATTTTGGTTACCAGCAAATGCTGCGGACAGGTGAAGTCTTTGGAGGTGTTCTTCACCTCGTCGCAGACGTGGATTACCACCTCGGGTCTGTTGAATAAGAAAATATAAAACAAAACTAAAGCAAAGCCGAAGGATAAAGTGAAGTTCTCTTTAGATTTTTTGGTTTGGTTTCCTTTAAATATTTCCCAAGAAACATCTACTTACTCCTTTTTCTCTTGCCTGGAATGCTTGCTATCCTTCACCAACATTAGGGACTTCCTTCTGCCGGCATTCGTGACCCCCGGCTTGGGAATCGGTTCCTTGACCAAGGCACGCACCATGCTGTTGGTGATCTGATCCTGGTGAGCCGCATCCCCGCCTGCTCCCTGGGCCAGGCAAGGAACTGAAGCTGCTGTTGCTGGCAATCCTCCATGCGAATGGCCCAGCTCCATCAAGGACTTTGAACCGCCAGGAATCGGAGCAGCCGGCGGAATAGGAGCAGATGATGTAGGCATGGAAGTGGGCACAGGTAGGATTTGCTGTGCTGGCAGCTTGCTCGTCTTATTCTTGCCACTCTGGAGTGGCGCAGGCATGGGAACTGGACAAATGAAGGATAGAACAGAGTCCAGAACGCCCTCGTTGATCACCGTATCCAGTTGCTCGACTAGCTTGGGATGCAGGCCGCGGTACGTGGACTCGGGACGGGAGCGCGAATTGCTATGACTGTGTCCGCAACGCAACATGCTGGTTTTCGTCTCCGGCAGCAGGGAGGCGGCGGCGACAGTGGCGGAGGAGCGGGACGGGCGTCGCAGTCCCAGCAGCGCGTTGACCAGCGTGTTGTCTGCCAAAAGATCAAAGTCGAACTCGTCTTTTTTGGAATTTCGCTTGGCTGTGGCCCCAGCGCCAGCACCGGCCTCCATCGGCGGCACTGGCTCCCTGGTGTGTGGTGGTTTTCCCATGTCGGCCTTCGCTATCATATCGTTGACATGACAGGAGAGCTTTAAAAACTCCAAAAATTCGTTCAAACTGATTTGAAACTCGGCGCCACTGCCGCCGCCGCCTGCCTCAATCGACTTTTGCGTTGCCGTTGCCTGACTGGCGGATTGTGGCGGCTCCTCTGGCTGCCCAGCGGCAGCTGCCTCGTCGGAGCCCGATTTTTGCATCCTTTCCGAGGCACAAATCGATGGGAATTGGACATTATTGATTGATTTCTCGGTTGCTCATAACAACACAGTGCATTTACAAAAACAAGAACAATGCAACTAGTGGTGGAAAATGTGGACTTAACGGAAACGATACAATAATATGCTATCGAAAGGCTATCGGTTTTTCAAATCTACTTTCTTAAGCTAAAAATTCTTCATAAATAATTTATATTAATGGTTTTAATACAAACTTAAACAAAACTCAGGTTTTATACAAACATAATTAAAATATAGAATAATAAAATTTGCATATATTGAGCACAGGTCTAGGTAACAGCTGTTTGAGATTAGGGTTGTCAAACTATTTAAATCTATCGATAAATATTCTTATTGGGAAAATAACAAGTTCTGTTATCGTAATAATATTATCGATAACTACTTTAGTTGCTTTTGAAATACATTTTTATTAAAAATTCTGCTGAAACTTGCATACTACGTGATAAATTGCTTGCATTCAAAATAATAATTTATCTATTGTCTTAAAAAAACTTAACGATAACAAGTTTTCCTTTTTTAAATATCGATATATCGATTCTTTGATATATTTTCGAAAACCCTACTCTGGTCACACCTTTTCCTTTTCGTGTTTCCGGCGAGGTACGTGCACAAAATTTCTTTCTCCAAGTTTTAGCCGTAAAATAATTGCCAATTTCTCATTTTAGCGGTGTAAACATATTCATCAAGCTACAGAATGGTGGGTGCCAATGAAAAATGCTTAAAATTCTATCCGAAAATGGGAAAATAACCTGAAAAACGACAGCGAAAAGGGCGCACTCCACGTGCAAAGAGATATTGTGACGCCCGAAAAAAAAAAAATAATTTATGTGTGACAACCTCAGCTGTGTTTCATATAAAAACCATCAAGATAAAACGTTTTTGCTGAAACAAGACACCTGTTTACTAAACAAATACTTCGTAAACAAGCTGTAAAGTTTCGGGAAATTATTCCCAGTGCAACGGTCAATGCCGGTTTTAAACTGAATAAATATGTGAAAATTCTTTGCAATCCTCGAAGGAAATACCCGGAAATATAACAAATATGAATGTTTTAAGTCATTCTAACAAATTACTATGTGAAAACTTGTAAAAGGCGGCCTATGGCCCGCTCAATGAAATCATAATCAGTGATTAATCCTAATTTGTTTAATTATCGCAAATACAGGGTCGCGTGCGAACCAAGACCGTGAAGAAGGCCGCTAAGGTCATCATTGAGAAGTACTACACTCGCCTGACGTTGGACTTCCACACCAACAAGCGCATCTGCGAGGAGGTGGCCATCATCCCCACCAAGCCCCTGCGCAACAAGATTGCCGGGTAAGTTTATTTTGGTTTTAAATATAAAACGGAGAGATTTATGCGGTTTTATAGGAAAGAAAGGTCGTAAAATACCTGAAAGAAGATTCCTAATAGACATTATTAATAATGTCTGTGCTCTGAAATCAACAAAACTATATTTTAAATTAATAAAAAATTTCTTAAATTCTTTAAATTATTTTCAATTTACTTTAAATTTGATCAAAAATAATCTAATATTCAATTAAATGTCTTTACCTAGCAAAATACGTATTCAGCTTGCTTAAAAGCTATACATTTCTAGTTTAATATTTAATAAATCTAACTTTATATAGTCTAAAAGTTAATGTATAAATGTTTTTTTAAGCTCATGTCCATATCTAATTTTTTTTTTTTAAATACCTTTGATTCTTAGAAACAAAAAGAAAACTAATAATAATAATTATTATTTCCTTTTCAGCTATGTCACCCATTTGATGGGCCGTCTGCGCCACTCCCAGGTGCGTGGTATCTCCATCAAGCTGCAGGAGGAGGAGCGTGAGCGTCGCGACAACTATGTCCCGGCCGTCTCCGCTCTGGAGCAGGACATCATCGAGGTTGATGCCGATACCAAGGAGATGTTGAAGCTGTTGGATTTCCACAACATCCGTGGTCTGCAGCTTACCCAGCCCAACACCAACAACTTTGGTCGTCGCAACTAAGTTTTTTCTATCGTAGCGCGTAGATGATGTTCTGGATTTGCATGAAATCACAATAAATAACAAGTTTTTGTGTGAAGTGCAATTGAAAATGTGTGTTTAAATTGGAAATTAATTGCGAAATCAATCAAGTTAGTGAAGAGAGGAGAGAAAAAAAAAGAAATAATTCATAATTCTAAACTGGATAGAATTTAAAAAATCCATAATCCTTAGCTTATCATTTTATTCCAATTTCAAAATTAATTTTTGGTTTTATTTTTGTTTATTTATTCGCATTCGAATGGAAAATACTGGTAGACAATGCACATACATGTAAATATGTATTTAATATATTCATTCCATAAATAAATGGGGTTTTTCGTTTCCTATACATACCGATATTTATATGTAGTGTATATGTATAAAAGATATTCTCTACAGAGTGCACAATATAATATGTAAATCTAAGCGTGTACACAGATTACAAGTATATAGACAGGGGTGCCGTGGAAGTTGTTATGCAATTTATTTTAAAAAAGCATCTAAAAGTATAAAATTAAATATTTAAAGATTCTTTTTTGGCTTTGTTACATTTTGTATCATTATTTTAGGCCGCACTTCGAGAGATTTCAAATCCACAGCAACTTCTTTGGCCCCCCTGATAGTATATATGTTATGTATATGAAGGTTGGTGTAGGTATACGATTGATTGTGCCCTTTCATGAGCCCGGCGCTCATTGTAATCAGGATGCAGCGGGATCCGCTTGGGGTCTGCGCACCGGATTGCGTAACACCAGCTCGGAATCCTCCGAAATTATGGGCAGGGCATGTGCCCAATGGTAGTTGATCAAATGGCTGATGCTGTCAAAGATGCGATCCTTGGTGCGAACCACACCCTCCGGGTCGATGAGCAGCAAATGCTTGGGCGTCTTGCCCTCCAGTCCAGTCAGCACATACTGACCGCGCTTTCCCTGGGATTCGCGTACCAAAAAGTCGCCATCCTGCTGCAGCAGCCGCTCTGCAATGGGTCGTGAGATGGCGGCATGGAACCACACTTCCGCCGTCAGCGGACACTGTGGTCCGTCGAATACATCACGCACCGAGATGGCTGCTGTGGCAACCGTGGAATTTGGCGGGGTTGGGGCCTGCTGGAGGGGATCGAAGTGACCGAGGGCCAGCTTATTGGTCGTCTGATCGGGCGGCGGGGAGTTGAGGTCGATGAGATTGCTGCTGAGGCGATCGCGAGGCTTCTTCAGATTCAGCTGCGCCACACGCGGCGCATGAGGATGCAGAGGGAGCTGCTGCTGTTGTTCCGGTAAATCCGGTGGCAGCTTGTTGGGCAAGTCGTTGTAGTACTCCTTCACGTTCTCCTTGCAGCTCTGGTTGATGTTGCAGTCGCCGGCAGCGGCACCTGGATCGTTGAGTCTGCTCAAAGCGTTAAATCTCAATGCAAAGGCCTTGCCAATGGTCACGATCAGATCCTCGCTTTGACCACCGGCACACTCGAGCACGTAGCAGGCCCGCCACTCGTCCTCGTTCTTGGCTATGTACGCCAGAAAGTCCAAAGTGTCGTTATCACCGCCGGATGCGAACGAAATACGCGGCATATTGTGATTGGCTATCACCTCGCCAGTCTCCACATTGCACAGCGACAGGGCACGGCTAGACACGTTAATGATGATGTTGGTGCCGGCATGTTGCATGCTGGGCCGGTCCGATATGAAGCTGCAGAGCCGCCGTTTGCCCGCCGACTTTAGGCCCGCAGCCTCGCACACCCGATTGATGCACTCCCTGTATCGTTGGAAACCCATGATTATCTTGTCGTGCATTCATTCGCAATGGTTACTCACCGCGCCAGCTGGGTCCGTGTCTCGAAGTCCAGCGATTTCATCGAGGTCTTGACCTCAACGCAGCCCGTATACCGCACATTGAATGCAACACCCACGCCCATTATGACGTCGTCCGGATAGATGCAACCATCGTTGGTGGCCCCGGACCCGCTCCGGTTGCCGGAATCGCCATTCTTCGGCATTTGTGCTCTGTTCCTGTCTGAGTTTGGCAGCTGTGGGCGTCCTCTCGCGCTGGTATCCTTTTTTCCCCCAAGCGCCTCTTTGTTATTAGTATAATTTCGGATTACTCAAGGTGTGACCGCATTGTCGAAAGTGTGACCGCAGATGGTGGCCCTATCGATAGCTGCACAGGGGCGGCACGATTGTGTGGGAAAAAGGGGTTTGCAGGGAAGCGGATCTTTAACCGAATATTGAAGCTGTAAAAGTGATGTATTGGAAGAAATGTTTCTTTTTAAAACGTCGAAATATCCAAATTTAGACAACAAAGTATAAAAAATAATATATATAATAAATAAAAAATATTTAATTTTGTATATATATGAAAAACATTTTTATATATTTTATACATTTAAAAACACTTTTTTGAAAGCCATAGTAGGTTATGATAACTTAACGGATTCAACTATATATATTTAAATTAAAAACATACGATATTTACAACCACGCACACGACACACGTGCCACCACTAACCTATCGATAACACCGTCAGAGCAATCAACAGTTTGCCATCGCTGTGTGTGGCAAGCCAAAGCTTCGCGTCCAAGACTTGGCCAACCCCCAAAATAAAGAAAATCTGTGCTCGCCGCCGCAACCGCCGCTCAGTTTTTAACCGACTTTCGTGCAATATCCACGCCGTCACGGCTCTCCGGTGACTAATCCGTCTATTTCCCCCCGACAGCGGCGCGTATACATACACACAGAGGCGGTACATCCAGCCGTGGAATTATGTGTTAGAGCTAAACAAATACGGAAATTTAGAAACAGGAAACGAAGAAGCTACGTTTTTGCCGGACGAAACCATCTTTCTGCCTAAAATCAATATTCGCGTGAGTTTTGTGTGAGTGAGAGAGCCAGATACGCCCGCATCGCAACGCGCAGCATCCGTCAGCGAAGTGCAGCCAGAAAACAGCGGCGAGAAAAGCCGGAGGAGCAGTGTGCATCCGAGTCGCGCGGCACTGGAAACTGTGTGGAAACTGGAACGAACGCATTGTATCCGTGAGACAGATT